ACATACCCACAAAAAAGAAAAAAAATTTAGAAAAGCCAGTGCAGAACCCTGCAAACACTTGGAACATTATTCAGTCTTTCAGCCACAGATTAATGTAAATTTTGTGGTTTGGGAGTTTTTTCTTTCAGTGAGCACTGTGCACTTCAGAAACGTGGAATGTTTTAGCTCACTTCAAGATCAGAGAGAATGCATGATGTTTGAAGATTTCAGTAGATAACAAATTTAGTTGTTTAGTATCATTCTTCTAAAACTACAAAAATCTGAAGTTACTTGTTGATACCTTGTCACTTAATCCTAAATTTGACCAGTGTAAGGGTGGAGAGGAAATAAGAATTTCAGTGTTCTTGTTCTCCCTTTGCACATAAAGTAAGTATGGCCAAACTACTCACCACATATGCAGGGAGTTTCCCTCCCGGCTCCTCCCAGATTTGTTGTTCCCTACAGGTAGAGTTACCTGAAAAGAATTTTCTTTCTTTTGGCTAGGAAATAAGGCAGAAATATCTCAGCAGAGAAGATTTGAAGTTAGATGTCTTTGTACCTGAACACCTGCTTAGTTTTTGTCATCTTTAATTCCTCACTCTCCAAAATCCATCAGTTTCTAGCTTGTCTCTTTGGCCTCTCATTGCCCTCAGACAAGCCATTCTGTCCAAAAGCAATCCAGAACAGTTGATCTGAAATGCAAATATTTAACTTCTGCGGTATGGATAAGAAATTTTCTCTTTCTTTTTTAAATCAGGACTGGGAAGCATAGTACTTTGAACTCTGCTTTACTCACAGAATCTTACAATAATTTAAGTTGGAAAGGACCTCTGGAGAGATGTCTGGTCCTGCCTCTCGCTCAAAGCAGAGCCAGAATGGGTTTGCTCAGTTGAGTTTTGAGTATCTGCAAGGACAGATTTCACAGCTGACCTGAGCAACTTGTTCTGGTTTTTGACCTCCCTTTTGGTGGGAAAGAATTTCCTTGTCTTTAATCAGCATTTCCCATGCTGCAACCAGCACCCATTGTCTCTCATCCCTTCCATGTACAGCTCTGAGAAAAGTCTAGTTCTGACTCTGTGCCCATGAGATAGCTGGGACAGCGATAACGGCCTTCTCTCCTTAAGGCTGAACTGAGCAATTCCCAACATTTCCTTGTAGACCATGTACTGCTCCAGCCCTGTATCATTTGGATGGCCTCCCACTGCACTTGGCAATATATTTCACTTAATGGGAAGTCTAAAATTTGCTATAGCCCTCCAGACATGCTCCCAAATGGGGCAATAGTTGCTTGCTGAATACAATTGTTAACAGTTCAAGAAGTAGTTGATCATCTTTGCTGCAAGGGCACATTGCTTCAAGGGAAAAGAAACAAAAGTTTGTAGGTAATTAAGAGGGAAAAAAGAATATAGTTGAAAAATCAGAAAAACAGGATGTGGACCTGTTGGTCGTTGTTTTGAATCTAGTTGATTATTGTCAAATCTGGTTAAAGGCAGCTTCTGTTGACTGACCATTTAGTACTGTATACTAGCAACTGTATACAACTTGCAGTTAATTTTGAGATTCACCACCACCATCACCATTTCATTACTCTTTGTATATTTTTAGATTCATAGAACAACCTTCAGACATAAAACTTAAAGGTTCTGACCTTCATTGTGTACCCAGCAAAACTGTCAAACCTGGACAATATCTGAATATACTGAGGAAAACAGAAGGTGCTGAAGGAAGAGAGTGTTGGTGTGTTGGGGGGGCATCACTTCTCATCTGAGCTAACTTGGCTGTGCTATTGGAAGACTACTATTGAAGCTGAATTTAAATAACCAACACCCAGTTGGTGATTTTTTTCAGATTCTTGGCACCTTTAGAATGAAGTAGCGTTTTAGTGCCAATGGTCTGAACAAAAGCTTAGGAGTTAAAATGTTGCATTGCAGGATGCCTAGCAGTTCAACTTGAGAAAAGTGTGTCGAAGCAGTCTGTATTTTGACTGGTATTCAGTTTTAATTTATTGAATGCCACTCTGAAGAAGGTTGTATTTTAATGATGGATGAGATTATTCCTACCAGTGGAACTAAGTTTGATGCACGAAATTACGCTATATAAGTAGAAACTGAAAGAGTACGGTCCTTTATTTAGAAGAAGTTAATGAAGGAGCTTAATTAAAGTTTATAAAGTAACAAATAAAAGCAGTTAATTTTGCTTTTCTGTTTACTTGACTCAAAAATTAGCTGCTTCTATCCAAATTAAATTAAAACTTAATACATCTAAACTGGATACATTGATTTTTTTTTCTATGTATTTGGTTTGTGAAATTCATTACATAAAATCATTGAAGCTCAAAAATTGAAAGTGGGAAAGTGTAGCTGTAATACAATTAACATTACAGCTAGTCTTAAATTAGTATTTTTGCGTACAGCAGGGCTACTGAAGCCTGGTTTCCAATGGAGTTATATCCTGTATTTCTTTAATAACTATCCTAACACAAGAAGCCAGATTTATGGTCTTAGGTGTTTGTGGTTTTCCGTGTGCAAGTTGTTTGGTTTGGTTTGGGTTTGTTTGTTTGTTTGGGTTTGTTTGTTTGTTTTTGGTGTTGTTGCTGTTGTTCTTGGTTTTTTGTTTTGTGTTTGGTGTTGTGGGGGGGGTTTTGTGTGTGTGTGTTGGTTTGGATTTTTTTTTGTTGTTGTTTGTTTTTTGTTGTTGTTGTTGTTGTTTTTTTTTTGGGGGGGGGGCTCTTTTCCTTTTACAACGCCAGCTAAGATAGAGGTAGCATACAGTCTGGTTAATCCAGACTGGTTTTCCTCTGTATGCTTGAGTTGACCAGCTGATTCTGCAAATGGAATATAGAACAGGTGAATTTTTAAGGACTGTGAATTGTTCATTACATGGGATGATCTCTAACTGAGAGAAAGACATTCTATAACTGAGAAAGCTGAGGAAGGGGCTTGCCATGTGAGCAGGTTTTTTTTCATTTTGAGGTTCCTCGAACTTTGCTTGGAAACACTTAGAGCAGATTAGTTTGGGTTTTGCAGAGCAGTTCCCCTGTATATAGTTTGACATGAGCTCTGCAGTTGTTTTGGCTTCAAGGCGCTATGTGTGTCTGAGGGCTTGCACAAGACAAGCATGTAAATGGATTGTGTCCTTGCATTAGAATTCTCCCTCTTTCTAGATTTTGGTGTTATGAGTAGGTCATAATACATACATGCAATCATGTAAGCTTGAGCTAAGCTCCTCCAATCTTTTACCAGTTTGAAGACTTTTTAGGAGCTATTTCCTTTCCTTTTTTACTATACATCTCAATGTATACTTATGTGACTATCACATGGTATGCTAAACCTTTTTAATGAACAAATCAGCAGAGTTTTCCTCAAGATGTTTTGGTTCTACAATCTCACAAAGTTATGCCTCAAGGAAGGGGGAAGAAACACCTTTTCACGCTGCTAGTGTACCTCATCTCACCTTTCCCCACCTTTGCTGTGGAGCTGTAGTTATATGGCCGATTCCCATTAGTTAGAAGATGAGTTGATTTAACCATGCAATGCATTTATGCCTCAGGGCAAGTTCCTTTCCAGCGCACAGTGCAGGAAGATTCTAACTGAGGTGGAGAATAAAATTTTTATGAACTGGGACTTGAACACTCAAGTGCTGTAATATGCTTTCAGCTAATTTCATCTCTAAATACAGATAATGAATCCGCTTCAGTTTGTATTCAGATAACAAATGTCATTCATTCTGTATGAATGTAAGTATCTAGATAAAATGGGTGACTTTTACAATTTGGTCATAGCTTAGACTTTTTTTTACATGATTTAAACTATATATATAAGGTTATATTGATGTATCTGTAAATGAACGGGGGCATTGGACTGTGTATTGGAGAAAAACATCATTTATAAACCTCTGTATAATTAGTTGCTGTAGATAACTTGTCTTCAAGAAAACCCCTTTTTCTAAAAGTTACGATACAGTGATGTAAGCCAGCTATAAAAGCCAGGTGGGGCATGTGAAAGATCATGAAATGCTGTCATGCTTTTGGGATAATCAGATCCTAAAGATCTACCTGGCCTTGGTTGCCAGGCTCTGGTATGAGGCATCAGGCTGGAGTTGGTCTGGGGATACATGTATTTTAGGATGGAAAATGTAGCAGTGTCTCATGACAGTCTCAGGATGCTTTGCAAGAAAAAACATAGTGATTAAAAATAAAAAAGCCCTTAGTCAGTGAGATTACTATTTAAACCTTCAGCTAAGTTGAGATAGTGGGGAAGAAAAACACATTTTGTTTGTCATTTTTCTTTGTATTATTTCTTAGGAAATTTAACCTGTCATCTACCCAAGTTTTTTGGGTGCCAAATCTTTCCAGAAGCTTGCCACAAAATGTCTGTTATTCCATGAAAATATCTTTTCTCAAATGGTGTATTGCCAAACCATTGTCAGGTTCCCCAGCCTTACTGAGAAGACTGAGTTTACATGGGTATAACTCAGTACAATAAAGTTTAACACATCCTATTTTACTGACAAAATTTGCTGTTGTTTACTGTTAAAAAATGTAATCACATGGTATATAAATAGAAACCTGTATTACAAAAGACAAGAGCTCAATGTGTGTCATCCTGTGCCTGTTTCCAAAAACAGGAGGCGGAATGGATGTTCATAAAATCCAGGTTTTGACAGCAGAAAATGAGTGTGAGTGAGCGGCTGGTCTGCCAGTTCTGCACAAAAGCTCTCAGGCAGTGGCTTAGGTATGAAATGCCCAGATTTTATTTTTTTTTTTTATATTAAGTGTGCCCTTTGGAGAGCGGGCATCTTTCAGGTGATGAAGTAATGAGTAATGTAGTTTAAATGGCTCACAGTTTTGCTGTTATGGGGAGCCAAAACAGAGCAGCCCAGAGTATTTAAGAGCTTTGTCTCTTAAATGGAGACAGAAGAAGAGCTTCGGTTCTTGCCTGTGCCTGGGGAAGGGGCGGTGGAGATAAAGCTGCACACCGGCACTGCCCAAACCCACCCTCTGTGCCTGTGTTTTCTGACAGCTGCAGGAAGCAATCAAGGCTGGCAAAGGTGTGACTTCCGCCATCGACCTCTGCCGCTGCCACGGGAACAGGGCGCTGGCGGCCCTGGAGCGCTTCCCTCCCTCCGAGGCCAGGGCTGCCTTGGCCAACATCGTCTACGCCGTGACCAGGTTCCCCTGACCCGCTGCCCCGGGAGGAGCTGCCCTCCCTCCGCGGGCCGGAGCGGCCTGGCGGGGCCG